GGGGGGGGGGGGGGGGGATTGAGAGGTGAAGGTCCCGTTTGTTGCTGATGACGGAGATTTGTTGTGGTCTGTGGGCAGGGAGAGAAAAGGCTGTCGACGTCTTCAAGCGGGGGGGTCAGGAGGCGTGCTAAAGCTTAGCGCTCGGTGGAGAAAGGAGATACCCAGGGCTGTGTTGTGGGACATGCATACCCCCACTTCTTTGCATACTTCCTTTGTGCTTCGTATGTGGACACACTGAACTTTTCATCAACAGATGTCGCAATATTCGGTCTCAAAATAAACGTCTGATCGGTGTTGTTGTATGGCCCATTAACGAGTGAAAGTTATGCTTGTGCATGTTTACGAGCCACGCTCCGTCTCGATGAAGCTCTATCCGTAGGCGATATTGTCATGAAGAACTGCTGGCTATAGATAGCGTACATGAGGAAGGGTGGAAGGAAGACGACTTCATCACCCTACTCCTGAAGCCCCCCCCACCTTCAACGAGGGAGCAACTACTTTAGAAGTCAGCAAATCAACAAGGTTAAGCTCACTTTGTTTTTTTTGCCGGCCAACCGTCTGCTGTTTGCTTGTTTGTTCGGTTTGCACAGTCCGAGTGCCGCTATTGCGCGCCCTCACGCACATCATGTTTTTTCATTGGGCATGTTGGGCACAAATGCTGTGAGGGCTGGTTTGCCGTGAAAAACAAGAAAAAAATAAGAAGTTCGCTGTCGACGACGTGCTGGGATTGGTAAGACCATGCGGGCACAAACCGACGTGTTTCTTTTTCCCATGCAGAGGCCTCTTTCATTCGTTCAGATGTTTCGTCTGAAAGGTGGGCCAGGGCAATAACTGACGTCCCCCCTTGGAAGTTTGCCCCAGTCACACCTATCCCGCGTTGGCTTCTCGATTTACCTCCGATCAAGGAGCGAAAATCTCGTCCTGACGCCCGTTCACACTCAAGTTCCGCGGACGAGCGCTGGACTTGAAGATTTGGAGCGTCTGCGATGATACCTTCGACGCAACTGCAACTGACCTCTCTCCTTTATGGTTTGGCGTGGGGATGATTGCCTTATGGATAAGGTATATGTCTTACGGTGTACCAGTGTGTACCAGCATGTCGAATACATGTATGTCTTAACGAACGTGTGTCGTCTTGTGGCAGGTGACTCATCCGATCCATGGTTCCGGGGAGGTGGTTGCCTTGGTCGAAGGCTCCGAGGGTGTGAACGTTCGCTTTGTCAGCCAGGGGCAGCCGTTCCTGACCAGAGTGCTTGGCTCGAAGCTCAAGCTAGTGAGGTAGAGATATCGCGCCAACGACAAGGAGCGAGCCTCTTCCAGAGCGGGCGGTGTTCGTGGCGCGGTTCGGACCCATCCCCGCTGTGCTGTGTAGAAACCACTCCGTTTTTGCGGAGAAGTTGGCCGATGTTCTGGCAGAGCTTCTGGTAGGATGTGTGTATTATGTTGCGCCACTGCTGTGGCGAAGTAATTAGGCCACTGTTGTCAGTGTTTCTGATACGAGGTTTATGTAGGGCTGCTGCTGCTGCCATGAATTCACATCATGGTTGCTCTGTTTGATGACGTAAAGTGAAGTGTTGGTGTCGTGTTTAGCTGGAACACCCCTTTTGAACGCGTGGAAGTTGCCCAAGCTTGTCACAACATCGACTAGCATATCTTTGCATGTGTGGTAAGCGCTGAGGTTGCTGAACAGCCCGCAGCGCGTTGTCAAGGAGCACTGCCCTCAAGGATCAGTGAGGCTGGCGTGTGTTTGTCCGCGAATGGTGATTGGGTGAAGATCACCGTCTGCGGTAGACTTGTACCATGACATAAGGCACATCTTTCCATCGGTCATATTATGTGTTTGACATGATGAGCCAGCGCACCGGTCGACTTTTGGATGGAGTGAGAGAGAAGAAGGCTCTGGAAAAGACGATGTAGATGGGGAGGAGAGAGAAAGGGAGAGAGGGAGAGAGGGGGAGGGAGAGAGAGAGAGAGAGCGAGAGGAAGGCAGAGAAGATGGGCGTTAAACCAAAGAGACAAAGCTACAAGAGATAGAAGGAGGGAGTGCGAGCGACCGAGAGAGAAATCAAGCTTTCGCAAGGCACGATAGAAGAGAGAGGGAGAGAGGGAGAAAGAGAGACTCTGATAGACGTGCCGCGGAACTTTTGGCAAAAGAAACAGCTCTGAAGTGTTGACCTCGTTGGTTCACGGGCGCGAATGCTTTTAAGGTTTAGTCTGGGGGAGACAAAGTACACACTCTACCGAAAAGGACCTCAAATTTCACAAAAACAAATGGCCAAAAAGTCCTCGTATGCAATTCATACGCTTTGCCTATAAATGTCGCCCGAGAAAAAAAACGTATCGCACTGACCGCTATCATATTACACCTTCCCAAGAACACTTTTGGAGCGCGAAATCACATCGACGTGGAGAACGCCAATCACTTCTGAAGCCTTAACCTTGACCGCTGTACGCGGGCATGGTGAAAACTCGAGGAGGCATGTTCCTGCATGAAACAAGAAAGCCCGTGAAGGGAAGGGGACAGGGGTTGGTGAGTACTAGGCAATCAGTGAGGGTCGTGGTGTCCGGCACAGCCAAGAGACAAACCAAAATAACCCCTCCCTTCCCACTCTTTGATTCACTTTACGACTCAAGAGGGCCACGAAGCTCTCTGAGCTTGCGGCAGTCACTTGAGAAAAGTGGGCAACCAGTAGAATGAATCCGCGGCAGAATCACAATGACCAATCTCATCGAGGGAGACCATAAGCAGCAACAAACCCACACGACTTCTCGAAGGACAGACAGGCAGAAGCTCTCTTCAAACGGGTAAGGGGTACGGCGTCGTGTCTGAAGCACGGTCGGCTATGAACGCGCGTGTTCCGTAACATTCCAAAGCTCGGTGGTACATTTTCGGTTACATGACCTCCCAAAAAGTTATTGACGCGCGTTGAGAAGGCCGCCCTTGATAAGCGCCGCACCAGACGAATAAATGAAATGCACGCTGTTCCCAGCCAATGATGCAAACCAACCAACGAAAAATCAAGACTGTTGTTGAGCGTGTGCGGGCGAAGTCTACGAGACGCGAACGTATCGAACGCACATAGTTGCTGTCTTCCTGAGCTCTTCTGCAGTGGGACAAGCTAAATGGCCGTTGGTGTAGCCACACCAGTGCAAGCGACCCAAGTCAGGAACAGAACTTATATAGACGGGACGACCAGCTGCAAACAAATATCGCACCACACACCCACAAGTGTCAGCCAAGCCCTCGTCAGCACAGACTACAAACTCCGCACCCAACACTCTTGTTCGTTCCGGTATATGAGTGAGTGCAGGAACACCGCAGCGGTTCGTCTGCACCTGCAAAAGGACAAGCACCTGGGGTTGCTGCTCACCTCCCTGTCTGACCGTAGCACATGCGCCCCGCAAGGCCCACACCACTCCAGCCTTCCCCGTCCCACCACCGTGCGTCCCCCTTCCCCGACCAACAGCACCTCCGCTCCGTACCACTCGTCGTGTTCACTGGCACCGTCGTCAGCATCGGCTCGGCTTGCGGAAGCCGCTGGTCCTGATGGTGCTGCTGCCGCTGCTGCTGCTGCTGCTGTTTCCTGCGGGCGGAAACAAAACGACCAATGACCAACCGCCAACCAAAAAGCATCGAGTTTGGGGATTCCATAAGCGTTCTTTTGGTACAACAAGAGTGATTTCTAGTGGATGTTCGATTCAACACCCAAACGCGACATCAGTACCAAAAAATGGGCTTGTTGGCTCCCGGCGGGGGAATGCAGTCGTCTTTCTTTCTTCCACACTCAATAGTCACAAAGCTGCCGTGGTGACATTCACACGTTGAACTCAGACTCAGAAAGCCAGTAGACTAGTTCACAGTGATTCCACACTTCAATTACGCCATCTCCCTGTTTTACATGGTCATGCTCAGATCCGACGAATAACGACGACAGAGTACCACGCCGGCCACACGATTTCACGCTTTTTCAGCCTGTCTATCTGTCTATCTGTCCGTCTGTCTGTCGTTTACTCACTCACCCACTCACTCACGCTCACTCACACGCCACACGCATACGACATCGACGAGCTTTGACTCTCCCTCCTCGTATCTCTTTGCCTCGCCGACGCTCTCCCAACCGCTGACCTTCTTTTTCTCACTCATTCACTCTCACGACATCTCACATTCACAAGTCGATCGTCTAGCCCACCCCGTTCCAATGGCGGCGTCTGCGTGCCCCCCCCTCCTTCACGATATCGGTGCCGCTCTTGCCGCCGCTGGGACTGGGTTAAGCGGTACGGGTTCTCCACAGGCCGCAGGCGGCGTTTCTTTCCCGACGTCGCCGCTCGTGATGATTCAACATCTCCGCCAGATGCTACCGCTGCTGTGGCGGTAGCTGAATCTACCGTAGAACCGGTGGTAGCCGCGCCGGAAGCAGTGATTGGCGCTACAGATCGAGGGTCGGAGATGCGTAACCGGGGAGCCGGAGTCGACAGACCGGTGGGGGAGTCGTTGCCGTCTAGGCGGGGACGGTCCATCGAATTTGAGCTCGCGGGAGAGGGCGAAGAGCTTCGTTTGTCACGAAGAGGGAGGCGGCGGGAAGGCCAAGCGCCGTCTGTGCTGTGGGCAACGGCAGTACTGTCGAAAGCATCGGCTCCTTCATCGTTGGCACGTGTCGTTGTTTGGCTGGTGCTGCTTCGGGCGGGGCCGCTTGGGCCGGCCGTTAGTCGTGAGGGCTCAGACGCCTCGAGATATCTGAAGCAAAGGGCGATCGGGAGACGGGATTTGCACGGGGAAGGGAGGGAATGTCGCTCACCCTCTTGTATCGCTACACCTAAATCTCAGTTGCGAGAAATATCCGATTTCATTTCACGAAAACATATTCACTCCCGGGCGTGGGCGAGCTCGAAAGGCACGACTGCCAATCACGGTAAGGAATAGAGCAGGCCACCTAAGATCATTTCATTGTCGGGGTTGTATTGCGCACAGTCTTTCCGGCGAGAAAGGGACGAAGACAACCCGGTGCTGCGGGAAAAATTTACTGTTTCCCACACGTAAGATTATTCCGCGAAATTGTTGATGATACGTAGCACGACCCTCCCAAACCACCAACGCGGCCTCGTTGGATCGAACCATCACCCCCACATTTTGCCATCGATCTCCAAACGTTACCGTACGCTGATTCCAGCCGGGGGTCCGAAAACGCCACTGCGAGAAAATCGGTCACATCGGTCTCGCTCCGCATATTCAGGTAGGAAAAAGAGGGACTGTGCGCGAGGGATTGTGCAAACGCCCGCGGCGTGAGGCCGACATGGAGGTCAAGTGCAAGCGTAACGACACCCGACACCCGCTTTCATAGCTCCAACACGTGGAGAAGGTTTACACACATACATAGAGGTGTCACTGACCTCGCCATCCCCGACTGCGCCCCGCCTCGTAGGCCTCGAAACCCGGCGAGGCCTACCGAGAGCAGCGTCAGATCCAGTGTACCCTTCTCCTCCTCCTCCGGGTGGACCATCTTGTCAAACAGCGCCATCACCAGCCTCACCGCCTCGGACAAGGCCGCCTCCGCCGCCGCAGTCTCGTGCTGATGCTTCTGCTGCAGCAGCGGGAGGAGGGGTGACGCCGCCGTGGTTGGCGATCCCATCGGTTCCGCTGCCGCCGCCGCCGCCGCGGCCGTTGCCGTCCCTTCCGCCGCCCCCGTCATCACCATGGCTGATCTCGCCTCCGCTGCCACCGTCCCCACTGCCGCCGCCCTCGTCGTCATCATCATCGGCGATTCCACGTGGCCCCCATCCCCCGCCCGGGTCCCGGCGGCGGACGCTCCCGTCACCCTCGCCCCGCCGGCTGCCGGCGGCAGAACCGCGAACGCCACCGCCACCCCGGAAGACACCGGGCACTGGCGGGATACGCGGACGCCGTACCCCTTGCTGGCGCGGCGGAACCCGAACCGCAGGGTTTCCGGGGCCTCCTTGTGGAGGCGTGCGCGTTCCCCGGCGCGCTTTAGGAGCGGGATGGCGAGGCGGCGGACGTGGTGCTCCACCTGCCGGACGGGGGCATGTAGGTTGTTGTCACAGCGGTGCGGTTGGCGTGTGTTCCTTGTGGATGCCGCTGATGCAAAAGGGTGAGCTTGGGGTACACGTAGGTCACAAGAGCGTCCGCACATGCGATCACGGTGTTGGGTCGTGCGCGGGGAAGGGCAAGCGCGGTTCGAAAACAGGGATGACGGGCGCAAATTTTCCAAGAGAACAACAGTGAAACATCGTACGGGAAATGGTTTCTTTCTCGCCCGAATAGCAGGTATCGCCTTGCGGTTGAAGGGAGAGAGTTTTGTCAGCACGTGCATCGTTGGTTCTAGACAGGTCCGGTGGTGCTGCTGTACAAGTTAACACTCTCGGTTCGGCGAAAAAGAAGAAACAGGCCTGTCGATCGCGACCGCCCGGAGGTGCTGACTGGAATAGCTTGCTGGAGGCCACATCAGTGGCAGTCAAGAAAACGACGACGACGACGACAACGACCAGCAGCAGCAGCAGCAGCGGCAGCGGCAGCGGCAGCGGCAGCAGCAGCAGTAGCAGCAGCTGCTGCAGCAGCGCTGCTAACCACTAACCTGACTTCGCGATCGGACGGTACCACGCTTGAAGGAGTCCTCGTCGCTCATGGTCTTGGGCCGAACCGACGGCAACACAGGGGTGGAGTCTTCTCCCCTGACCAGCAACGCACATTCGCACCCACGCCCCTTGTCAAGAACAGCAAAAAACCACATTTTCACTAGACAGAATGGGATGTTCTTTGCTTTGCTTGAATAATTACCGAAGACGCAGCCATGATCTTGGACGGACGCTTAGCGCCGAGATCCTTTTGGGGCGTCAATAGGGAAAGGAAACGATAAGAACACACGAATGCTAAGGGATTGCCGACAGAGATATCCGTAGATGCCAGATTCTTCTCGCCGGCGGGTGGTCGACTGAACGGAGCGTTTCACGGACTGACGTCACAATCGCCATCTTCACACTCTTCACTGACATCGGCGAAGGGCTTCATATCAAGGCCCACAAGCCGCCCACCTTCCTATCCAAGCGTTTTCCTCGCCTTCTTCAGCGCTACAACTCGTCTCCCGCCCCCCCCCCTTGTGCCGGAAACTGAGTGATTGTCACTCCTGCCGTTAACCAAATACCGTGGTGTACCGCGAGGCAGTGAAACTGCCGGCCGTCCTACGTTCTTCCAGCCTGTCCAAGTGAGACCAATACATCCTCCTGCGTCTCGGCGCGACTATAATGGTTACCACAATGAAACCGGGCGTCCAATGCAAAAATGCCGAGGCCGGCAAACACAACAACCCCTCCCAACCGCGTGGCCTAGCGCGAGAGAGTGAATCATCCGGGCGCCCAACGGACAAACACATCCTTCACGGTACCACGCTGCGGGACTTGTGTAAGCAAAACAACCGGTCGTAACCCCCCCCAAACAACACCCCCAACACATTAGCACCAACGCCAGAAACCAGACCCATAACGTGCCATCACCTGCACAGCAGGAACAGGACCCTCGCGAGCTTGATGCCCACTGCCTCGACGAGAAGAGGCCAGGGGGCCTCCTGTAGCTGGCGGCTCTCCGTGATACTGCAGTAGGGAGTAGGGCGGTCGAAAAGTCCACCGCGAAAACATTAATGTCATAAGAGGCGCCAGGCAATGAACGCGTCAATACACGCTAGGGACGGTAGGGTGTGCATGCAGGTATGGGGAGCGGGCGGCCGTTCTTGCCGTCACTACTAGCACGGCTGTGGTGTTCGCTCATTCAGGCTGTGACGCGCTTAGTGCGTGAGCTGACCAGGGGCATAAGTGTCTCCACCCGTGTCTGTTCACCAAGGCAGGCATTCTCACACCACCCGAATAAACTGCGTGCGATTGTCGCTGCTGCCGTACTCACCCGAGCTCGGTCTTGATCTTAGCGCACGTCGAGTACCCGCAGCCAGGCAGCTTGCGGAGCGGGAGCTGCGTGATCATGGACATGGCGTGCCTGCGCCACCGCCAGAAAATATACATGCAGGGAAGATATGAAAACAAAACAAGAACGAGCGGCACAATGGTCATCAGCTGAATGGCCAAATAATGCAATCGGAGGAAACGGTCGTGAGCGGTCCCGCACACTGGAAATGCCAAATTTGGGTTGGTGGAGGACCGGTTTCGAGTACAATGCAGAGAATTTGCAAAAAAAAAAAGAGACAGGGTGGCAACTATTCGTTATGCGATTGACTGGCCAACGGAAGAGGAACGAATCCGTAGGAGCGAGTAGTGAGCGGACCCGCACAAGAGAAATTCCAAACTGAGGTCGAGGCTCAATTTTCATTTCCTGTTCCGTCGGAAACCGTTGAACACAGCGTCTAGTGCAGGATCCACCGCCTAGCTACGTAGCTCCGGATCCTACGATTTCGACTCCATATCAATGTATATTAGGGATATTTCGACAATGGGTGCGGAACATCTCGGCTCTCTTTCGATGTGATACGGAATATTTCACTGTTGCGGGCCCGTTCTGTAGCGATCTATCGGAAGTTCGAGGGGAGCAGTGCGATAATGTATGTTGGTCCTTCTCCTGTGTGCCCTCACAGCAGTTCATGCTTCACAACCCTCAACAATCCTGTGAGCCAAAGAATGAAGGGCGTTCCCAGTGGACAAGCCTGCTTGTTTGCTTGCTTGTGTGAAACAAACGCACGAGAGATGCTTTTGCCGGCTAACAAAGGAGTGAGAGGGTCAACGAGACCTCATAAAAAAACGGCATCCCTCGGAAAAAATACTTGAACCTAGTGACTGAAAAACAAAAAAAGAGAAGCGGAGAGTGAAAACTGTCCCCTCATAAGAGCAAGCGAAGCCAGTTCTCGAGGCGCCAAAAAAACACAACTTGAATCTTGACAATTACGTAATGACCGCACAAATAAGTAAAAGTAGAAGCGACGCCCGAACCCCCGTCTGTTTCATGCAGTCTCAGGTAAGTCACCAAGCGCAAGCTTCAAGAGCTAGTCAGACCTGGAGGCTACAACAAACCAAATGGCACATAACAGTCATCGCTTCCAACGAGACCCAAAGGCGATGGGGGGGAAGTATCACTCCCGAAAGGGGCTCCGCAGGTATCGTAGATACGGCGGGGAGGGCACGCGTCACTCGCTTACTCTGGAAGAATGGTCGTTTGCTGGTCGGGTTTGTGCAGCTCCCCGGCGAGCTTTGCCGTCATCTTCGAACACCCTATCCCCGCGCTGCACGTGTATCCGACCTGGTGTATCGATGCCGAGCAGCACAAAGGTTAGGGTTGACTGGATGGTGGTAGGACGTTCAAGATTAATGGAAGGATGGGAAACCGATGCAAAAATACTTCAACGCGCCGAACGTTGATGGCCATTCTGCTGAATGACACTGAACAAGCCGCCCCTCGATTGTCATACCGCCGCAGAGTCATATGCCAAGACCCCATCTGCAACAAGAAAATCGATCGCACAATTTATTCCGAAAGGCGTGGTAGGACGAAGCGGCCAGCCATTCCCCTCACGACCACCCATCAATCGATGTTGATTCCAAAGGGCTCACCGCTTCGAAGAGACCTTTCCTCACGCGCTCCGCGAACGCGCTCGCTGCTGACAATCTCTCGTGACATCCGCACCGACATCCCCCTCCTGTCCCCTGAACAACGCCAGCGGTGGCCCCGCTGCCGGAGCCGCCGCCGCCTCGTGAGTCCCTGCCCTCCGGCCCGCTCAACGCGTGCTTGCTGTCGCCGACGCTGCCGCTGACAATGTCCGACGACACGGGAGCGTTCCTTAAGCCCATACCACTTTCCCCGGACCCGGTGCTGCCCTGACTCGTGCCTTGATTCTCCCCTGTCGGAACCAAACGCCCCGCTCGGGCTAGCTGCGATGGTTCGGTGACTTTCGGCGGTGTCGATCGGCCCGCGCGTTGCCGCGCACTCGCCGATGGCGTGCCCCCGCGAGGATTGGCGGTGATGTGGTCGTGGTTGTTCATTCCTTGCTCGCCGCTTCCGACACCGCTGACGCCACTGCCGCTTGTAGTGCTACCGTCTACGTTGAGAGAGATCTCGAGTCCCGTTTGTGCCTCAAGTAGCGTTCCTCCGCTGCCCGGGGAGTACACATGCCCCGTGATGCCGTGGGGCGCTGCGGTTCCGACGCCGCCGCTGCTGGTGCTGCTGCTGGTGATGCTTCCGCCGAAGCCGTCACCATGGAGGATGAGTGCCGTCACGTCGGCAAATATCTCGTCCATTCCCAGGCGCTGCACCAGGTCGCCACACATGCTGGCGATGTAACTGCCAAGACACATACCGGACGACAGTGGCGAAAACCCAGGGACGAACGGAGACCAAAAATAAGCGCGCTTAGCGAGATTGAGGGACAAAGGACCTCCCTCCATTGTGCGCGTCAGATGTCGCCCCATTCGGTTGGACGACAGTCTTTGGCAAGCACCAGCCGGGATTACACATAAAGAAAACAACCAAACGGAAACCAAGGAAGCTTTGAAAAGGAAGGCCAAGCCTCAGGCGCGGGGAAGAGCGAGCTACGCCCCACGCCAAGCACAACGTCCCGTGAACTCTTATTTACTAGATCCACGGATGGTGACAACATGGGGGGAGGTACAAGGGCGCACCCATACGGAGGCCGCCCAGTCGAGCGCGCGCCGCTTGGTGGAAAAAAAACGAAGCCCGCGGAGTGGGGGGGGCGCCTACCTGAATATCGCCTCCGAGGCCTCTCTGTAACGGGTTAGGTCTTCGCCGTCCATGACCACCAGGCTAGGGCAGCGCCGCTTGGCCTATGAATAGTCAATAGTGGTGGTCGGTGGAACTATCTACGAATGCGGTTGAACGGAAACAGCAGTTGGTTTTCTGCAGTGAGCAGTACAAGAGCTGGTGCCTCCCTTGCTAGTTTTCTAAAAAACACACGCAGATGTAGGTGCCGGTTGCAGTCATGCCCCAAATGGTCATCCCCAACTACCATCAGCAGGTCACACTCCCTCACCCAGCTCGTGCCTACCCCACCACCTTCGTTGTGAATCGCCACGATTCTGATCAAACATTACCATGCGCATATCGTAGGAGGCAACAAGAGCCAACACCCCCTGGACCAGTTGTCACTCGTTTGCCTACTCTACGATGACGAGGGTGCCGCAATCAGCCGATACGTGTTCGGGAAGCTCTCCACGAGACTGTTCCAACTCAGCCGCATTCAGCCTCATTGCTGTACAGAAACGGCATCGAAAAAAAAATCGATCCAGCGGGTGCGGCATCTTGCGCCACCAACAGTACGCACATCCCGTCCCGTTCTCCCGCCACAGCCGCAGCGGAATGGGACAGCAACGGGGTTGGGACAGCTCACTAAAGACACATCCCCTCCCAGTCTCCCCCGGTGTTTGCCATCGGGGTTGGGTTTTCGTCGCTTGGCAACGACGT